CTTCTTGAACATGGAAACTTTGGCGCTGTGGAGCAAACCATCCAACGACTAAGCATTCAACAGAACACGAACCGGGCGAGGGGTGGTGTTCACAATGAAGTCAGTTTGGCAAATGAGGGTTGGACCCCGATTCTTGGCAACATGTTGCTGTTGAATGTTGGCTGGTACTTGCTTGTTAAATAATATAACTGGCTCGCCGCTTGATCGACACTAAGGGAGATGATAGCTTTCTCCAAGCAGAAAGCCTTGGAGAAAGGGTTGGTGACAAAAAGCCAGGTTCATGGACTGGACGAGTGGCCAGTTGAGATCATGAAAGAGTTTGAGTTCCAAGACCAACAAATCCAGCGCATGCAGCGGAGTGGAACAATGGAGGTTGAGGCACATGTGGATTAAACAAATAGATCACCTTCCAGTGGTCATCCCCGTCAGGACCCCAAAGGCGAGCTCTTCATGAATGATGTGGTGCCTGGTGCTACAGACGCTGTGAGAGCGGAGCCATGAGCCTAGAGTCTATTGATATGGAGTTAAACTTCTTTTTTTTGTGACTTTATATAGTTTATATACGCATTGTTGTGAGGGCTGGAGCGGCCTTGGTTGCTGGGGGGGGGGCCCAGCATTGGTGTAACGTCTGCTGCCAATGCCAAAACAGTGTCGCTGCCGGTGCTCCAAGCCAACACAAACCCTTTTGGTGCCTTCCTGAGTCTTGATACTTGCAACGTTTAGCAACTTGCTCTCAGTAGTGGGAAATGCTTGAGGCATCTTGCCACAGTTCATCGACGCCCTTGGGAAAAAAATGGACAAGGCAGAAGAAGCCCAGGAGCTTTGGCTTCTTGTGGCAAGTTTTTTGGGCTTTGTTTACGTGTCTGTAGCAGGAAAAGCTCAAGAAGTTGGACGTTGACAGAGCAACGAAGCCTCTTGCTTGAACAACTCTTGTGAATAGGTAGCTGCTTGCTTGACCAAGCAGCCTAGTGCTGTTATGACGCTGCAGGTTGGCAGGCGACATCAAGCTCAAAATAGATGAGTTTAACAGCAGCTATGACGCACTGCTCAAGTTCCAGCAGGATGCATGTGCTGTGGAGGTTCCCAGTTTGCCAGGTGCTCAATTGATCTAGCCTAGGTCTGCCCACTTGCCTACCTTCACATGTTTTTGTTGAATGCCTGGCTGAGGGACGACAAGACGAGGCTGATCAGTGCATTTGTTTCTTGCACCAAAACGGATGTAAGTTTGAACACGCTTTTGAGCAGAGCTCGATGCTTGAAAGCTCCTCCAAAGGCTAAAGCTAAGCCTAAGGCAAAAGAAAAAGCAGCCAAATCTTCCAAATCTGGCAAGGGTAAAGCCAGGAAGTCTGGCAAAGCCAAAGCCGAGGACGGCTCAACACCTGCAAAGCGGGTGCGGCGTTCCAAGTGATCCTTTCTTGATCAAATTCCAATAAATTTTGATTTGGTGCGCACAGATCGATGTTGTCTGTGTGGTTTAGACGTACGTGAACCCGTGGGCATTGAGTGAAACATTGGTGCATTGGTGCTTTGAATTTTTGGCATTCCTGTTGAGTGCTCATTGGTTCAAAAGAATCACGATGCACAGTAGTTGTTTCCTGCGTGCCAGGTCCTTTTTGGTTGGCAATCTTTGCTCAAGAGGAGCACTTTAAACCTGCATGTTTGTTTGTTGAAGCTGAGATTCAGTGTGGAAGCCAGGCCAGCGACATCTGGACCCCAACCTTCATTCAGGCCCATACCTCCACTGCTTGCAATTTAAAACACTCATGTTGGGCAGGCTTCAAGCGGGACGATTCCGAGGTGGAGGATTCATCTGCAGAGGAGAATCTTGCTAATGAGTTGTTGGATGACTATCTTGGTGGAGTACCTTAGTACTTACTCGTGGACGTAGCGTGCATATAGTTTTTTGGATGAGCATACTCAACTATATAATATATGTGTGTGTGTGTTTGAAATCAGGTAGAGACCGCCAAGCAAACCTGCAAGATAGCTGGTATGATTTGCAAAGTACGGAAAGGGAGAGCCTTGACTAGCACACATCTCCTAGCTACTTAGTTAGTCCCTTGTAGTGCTCCAGCATCTCCTTTCCTCCTACCTAAGGTAAAGTCGATCTTCTACACAAATTAGCTCGAGCTGGCCGCAGTCGAACCAATGCCTGCAAGAACATCCGAAGCCTTCTTCGGAAACACAACCGGATTCTCCCAGTCAAAATTGATTGCACTAGCGTCACGGTCAGGTTGAAGAAACCGAGGCCACGAACGGTTCAGGTTTGGTGGCCTGTTTTGAGATTTGGAGACTTCGTTGACACCCTCTTCAACAAGTTTCCCCAAGTGCTCCTTGCTGGGCATACCAAAAATGATGAGAGGTGGAAAACATCATTCACCAACTTTTGGACTGCTTACAAACAAGTGGATGGAGCTCACCCATTTTTTCAATCTGGCCGTCCATGGGAAACCTCGATTCCATACTACCTTCATGGAGATGAGGGCAGGACTCTTCGCTCCAAACCAGTTATGATCTTGTCATGGCAGCCGGCCATTCCATTCAACGGCCTTGAGGACCTGAATGAAAAAGGGTTTCCTGGATAGCTGGTATATTTTGTTGGCATTTCCTTTCTCGTATGTTTTGTTGGGCTCCCCCCACTGAATGGAACGCTTTGACCCAGGGGTAGGATCACCAGGACCTTCCAAATCTAAGGCACCCCTTTACAACCAGATTCCTCTACACCTGCATCACCGCTGCCCTGTATTCTGGGGAGCGGACCTTGGATGACATCAACTTGGCCTGGGCAACGGATGCCGAAGAGCTGTTTTCAAATGGAGTCATGGTAGCTAGCCTGATTAGTTCTGTCCATTCAAGGCAAACCTGTTCCCAAGACCATTTTGGCTCTCTTCAGGTGGGATCAACTAGATTCTACTTCGTCTGTCTCGGAGTGAAAGGTGACTGGAAGTACCTTCGACAGGCGAGCTGTTTCCATCTTGAAGGGTATGCATCAATTGTTTTCTGTTCTTGGAGGCTCTTCATCTTCAGCCTGGATACCACTACCGGCTTCCAAGAAAATGCCATCTATGCATGGCAGGGGAGGATTGGTGAAATAGAGAAACTCAAGTGTGTAGTACGCATATGTGAGAGACATCGGCGCCAGGACAACTGGTCTGATATGGGGCCTGATGCCGACTGGCATCAAACAATCGGTGAAGAGGCATGGAGTACAGCTTTCAAACCGGACTGTGAGGTGCCCTTGTCGGGCATCCCTGGTTTGGAGCACGCTGGAAGGGCCTTTCCAGATACTATGCACAACTTTCATATCGGTTGGGGACAAGACCTTGCAGCAAGCACTATTTGTTTGTTGGTGAAGTTTAGAGTATTCAACCACCTTTCGTGCTCGGGCAAGTTTGATGACAAGTTGGCTGCTGCCCACGAATTGTTCATGGAGTTCTGCACTGCAAGAACCAAAACAAGTGGCTGTGACATCTTTAGCAAGCAAGCCTTTGACATGAAAGGGACCCTTAGCCTACATACTTGCAAGCAGGCCAAAAGGAATGTTTGTTGAAAACTCCAGGTAAGTTGAAAACTGGAAAATGATTGTTGCAAGGAACAACAGCTGGCCTACTAGTGTGGGAGGAAAAGGTCACGACACTGCTCTGGTTCTGGCTTGGCTTGAACACTTTATGAACGGGATTGCCACTTAGCTCATGCTATATGTTTCAGTTTTGGGGACATGTGCCTTTTTCTTCTGTCAGCTTATAGCTCCTAAGGATTGTGCAGAACAGGAATTCCAAGTTGCGCGCTACACCATCATGTCTGCCAACAAGTTTTTTCGGATGTTGAGAAAGCACGGTGTGTTGATTTGTGAACCAGCACGAACTGAAGCAATGGAGTGCTCCAGGTCAATGTGCGAAACTAGGAGTAGAAGCTTTGTGAATGAATGAAGTTGCATTACAGTTGCCTGTTTTCTGACTTCCTTGAATGGTAGATGTATCTGAGGAGGGGTACGGTTACCTAGCTGCTTTCGCTCGAAGAAGGAAATGGCGACTATACCTTCTGAGACAAAAATTGCACATGTCAATGCATACAACACTTTCAATGGCATTTGGGGAAGCATGCCTAAATCCTTTACGCCTTTTGGTCGCAGTACGCTCGAGTGCTAGCAGTACTGTGTTGCATGTGTCTTGATGTGTTGTCATTGCTGCTGGCAACTAAGTTACATCGAATTGGATCGATGAATCTTTCATTGGGTATGTGGCACGTCTACATAGAACGTGCCATGCTTTGACTGCCAGTGTGCGAACTCTAGAGAAAGCCTTAGGGGTATACAGGCTTAATCTAGAACTGCTGAACTGATCAAAATGATCAGATGCGGTGGAGAGCTGAGATCCAGGCCATAGAAGAAAGGTGACGTCCATGAGGATGTGCACGATCGCAGTGAAGTGCCGGGCTGGGGGTAGGGATGGACTTGACCAGGGATGCACCTCTGCCCTCATGCCCCCAACTATAAAACTGTCAGCAAAGAACCTGTACCAGGGATGATGTACCTCTATCTAACACTCAGCAACATGAAACTACTAAAAATCCTACTTTTTTTCCAAACTACTAGTTTTTCTCGTATTTCACTAAAAAACATATGCTCTACTAAAACTACTACTATTTCCTCGGAGTTGTAATCTCCAGGTAAAACAACATGTTGCCACATCAGTGAGCTTCAAGTCTACAGCACAGTTAGACCCACCACCAACTTCACCCGAGCAAAACGCATCGTCGATCTCTGCCCACAGCGCAGGAACATCATTGTGTACGATCTACACTCTGGATCCGGCATAAGGGAAACCAAACTCCTGCCATCGTTCCAACATCTCACGAATCTAAAGTGCCACAAAAGAACAGCCATTGGGTCATCTTTGCTCCCTTTTCCCTCCACCTGGTCTCTAAAGACAAAAAATGCGCATCAACCCACCACCCACACTCTCCCCCCCCGGCAGCCCAGTCCGCTGGTGCCAAGCGTCACATGACGTTCTTGGTGGGATCGGCGCCGTTGGGCGTGGCCTCTCGGTAGGACCCCGGGCGGCACACGGTCGGCACCACGGTGCCATCCAGCGGGCACTCGGTACCCGGAGGGCAGGGCTCACACTCGATCCTCAGCAGTCGCGAGGCTCGCGAGGCTCGCGAGGCTCGTGGGACCCGGGACGGACGGGGTTTAGGCGTTGTTCGGGGGAGGGTCTGGACGACGACTACTCGGAAAAGCCAAGGTTTTTGTTTGGTCGAAGACCTTGGAACAAAGCTTCTCCTGAGTACCTAAGCCTGGATGGACGGGGTGGCGTCGAGATGGGGCCGTCCAGTCTTATTGGAGAAGCTCTTCACGTGGTAACAGGACAAAGCAAGAAGCCGCGGTCGCATGGAGCGGGGAGCGGATGTTCTCCAATTCACATCGGATCTCATGTCTACTCTCCGACGAACACATCAAAATGGGTCCTTGAAACACCATGTCCTTTACAAACAGGTGGTGAACTCCACTTCCATGTGATGTGTTCGTCGGAGAAAAACGGCAGCCTGGACATGCTACACAAGGACCTCAACCTCAAAGGGGTGGAGATAGCGCCCAAGGCTAGGGCTTGGAGCGTCGGATGTAAAAAAGGTCGCCAGGAGATGCAAGGTGAGGTTGTGTAAAAAAACCCTTTATTGTGTTTTTGTTCTTTTGGTTCCTTATCGTTTTACAGCACTTTGATTAACTGCAACGAACGTAGTATAATGTAGTGTGTGCATTACATGCATGTGGTGTGTGGAACCTTGCAGGCATGAAGACATTAAGCACACTTCATTCCAACTACGCCCACGTGGTGGCCTGCCTACGGAAAGATGTTTAATTTGGGTTCGCTTTGTTATCCCCTTTTGCGGTTTTGTGATCGTTTTCATGCCTGGTGCAAGTAGGATGCCTACCATGTGGCACGTTCCAATGCGCACGTTCGGCTACAGAAAAACGGACATGCGAATACGACCCTTTCTATCCCTTGAAGGGGTTATTTTCATCTCTCAGGTGTGTGTTCTTTCAGTCAGTCTTCACCTGCCAAGATTCATCAGCCAGTTGGCCGCATAAGTTCCAGGCCGGCACTTGGAGGGATAGATGCTGCCAGACTGACCAACCTCAGTGCCCGAGCCTTGCCCGGACCGAGCCTTGCCCGGTTCAGTGTAGTGCATATTTAGTGTCATACCTGGACCTTCCACGGGTGTGTTTTCTGCCGTTTGGCTGTTTCACAAATTTCAGTCGTTTGCCGTCAAAAACGCCGTTTCATTTCAAAAGTGCCGTTTCAAAGTTTTTACAAAGGTTACCAAACTAGCAGTTGGCAAAAGTCGCCGTTTGGTCGGGGAAAGTCGCCGTTTGGTCGGGAAAAGTCGCCGTTTCAAAACCTTGACATACCATCGAAAACATGGCAATGCAAAAAGTGCTTCAGTACAAAATAGTTGGCGTTTGCTTGAAAAAACGGTTTTGATTGAAAAGGCGGAAAAAAGCATACTTATGAAGACCCAGGTATATATATATATATAATACCTTTGGAAACCCTTGAGTTTGCAAACCGTGGAGAGCGTGGCATCAACCCCAACGTTGAGCGACAGTGTTGCCATGTTGCTACCTTCTGCATATGAATCAACAAGCGTTTCGAGGCGATGAGCCCAAAAAAGCCTGAAGTCTTCAGCAATCCTTCCGAACCCCTCTCCGGTGTCTCCCCCCTGTCTCTTCTTGTCTGTCCTCATTCTTATTTCTAGCTATTTTGTGTTCATTCATTCATTCAATATTATTCAATGATTTTTTATGTCTCTCTTTCCTTTACATGTGTCTTCTCTCTCTCTCTCTCTCTCCCTCTCTCAGTCTTTCTTTCATTCTTTCTGCCTCCCCCCCTCCTCTCTCTCTCTCGCTATCTTTCTTTTTCTCTCTATTTGTTTTTGTTTTCTCTCTCCCTCTCTGTCTCTCTCTCTCGCTCTCTGGTGCAGTTCTAGTCGCATAGTGTCCGGGAGGGGTTGGTTGTGGCGAGCTGACACCCGCTGGGCAGTACCTCGAAAAGAGCGTCTGCGCAAAAGGATCGATTACTGGTCTCAACCAGTAACCGCTTGTTCGAAGGTGCTCCACACTCCAAACCCCGATGGCTTTCGGTCTTTTGGGCATCCCTTCACAACCTTTCGGCAGTTCATGGTCAAACCACCGCTCATCTTAGTCCCGTAGATGGATCAAGTTAAAGCGCTTGCAACCGTTTGTGTGCATCAATGCCTTTTTCATCAGCCGCCTTCAAACACCAAATCCATCCAAATCCTCAACAAGGCAGTCGCTGCACCCTTTGCACCACAAAAACGCGGCCAAAGAGGCCAACGTGGAGGGCAATTGTCGGTTCCTCCAGCCGTGGTGGTGTTGGCCACACAGAAGGTGCCCTGGGTGCATTGCTTCGCAGTATTCATGCCTGGGTGCTGAAACAGCGGAAGCGTCGCTTGGGCGCGAACCAGGGTGAGAGTCGCTAAGTGCTCAGACAAGGGCCAGCTACACCAAGACGGATCCTTGTAGTTTTCCAAACATTTCCTGTATAGTTATACGTTGTCCCGAACATGCCTTGATGTTGTGGTTGAACTCTTCCGATTCCCATGATTGGAAGGCCTGTCCATCACCCTCCGAGAAAAATCACTGCCCGGCTGACCCAGTCCATGGCCGGACCTGCCCAGTCGGGCCAAAACAAACCCAAATGGCTGCAACCACCACATATCACAAGCACATGGCTGTGGGTTATGGCAGACCAACCGGCTACAGGTCTACCTCCCTGGCGTCTTCTTTTCCAGCTCCCTAGTAGGTCGCTCGCTAGAATGACAACGTGCCACTGACCCACGGTGACCGTTTTTGTCCAAGGAACTGGTGGGGTCTGGAATCACTGAGGAGGTTCCAGCCATACAGTACAAACCGGGTGGACAAATTCGGGGGCCGTTGTCCGTGAGGCCCGCCAAGGTATTCAGCGTGATCACGCCAGGTGGACAATAGGATCCTGGTGGACAGCAAGGTATTCTGAGGGGCTGAACAGCGGGTGACAGGTCGTTGGTCACCAACAGGGTTGGTTATGTATATCCAGTCATGACTCATGACAGTGGTGCAATGTTGACACAACAGATTTGAGCTGTCAGGACACAGCTACCACAGTCCAACACACCTGCCCAGACTCTTGATCTCCTGCCAAAAGACTGGGGGATCTGAGGCAACATGCATGGAACATGCATGGAACATGTGTCTGCCACGGAACATCTTTCGACTCAGCAACTCCGGGACACTCCGGGACACCTGCTCCCTCCATGCGTACCGTGATGTGTTTCGGTGATCCCCGAATGTCCCGCTTCGATCTTCACGTCCCGACGCCCCGGGATGCCACAACACGCCGAACCACGACCGATCCACGTCCTGCCGGGCACAAGTAGGATGGGATTTCGCGACCCGCGTGGGCACACACGCGTCCCGCTGGGCCTGCGAAGCGAAGACGTCTTCGGCGGTCAGGAGTCTCTGGAGTCTGGTTCTGAAGGCTAGTAGCAAGGTGCCTTACTAGTAGTAACCAAGCTGGAGTGTTACCAAGTTCTGAAAGCTACTAGTTGCTGTTGGTGTTGTTATTACTAAAGTAGAAATGAACTTGGGGTGGTTTGGAATTGAGCAAGCACGTCTGCAGCTTTTTGGAACGTCTGGTGCTGGCCTACGTGCTGGTCCACTCGAACAAAAACAGCAACATGATCAACAAACACGCCCAAGAGATGTTTATGGCGCCAACAGCAACTTCAACCACTTCAAAGACCCTAGCCATCCCAAAAGAAAGTAGCCGCAAATTGTTTCAGTTTTTGTTAGTCGGCACCCAGCTTGTTCAGCACATCGCGTGACGATGTTTCACCCTCCCCACGTGACGAAAGCAAGCGCCGAAGACCGAGAACGCCGATCGCGACACCTGGAGGGACCTCTTCGGAACATGTGACTTTGGATGGGTTATGGCATGAGGATTTGACACTGCATATAATAGCACCTCATAGCACCTCATGGCTGATCCAACGAGAATTCATAGAGTACAGTGGCTCGGCCGAATTGATCTCTGAGAAGCACAAGGTGGGCAGCGCACTGCCGAAGCCGGGGCAAATGGTCCCGGCGGTGCACGTGGAACAAGCGGGTGCCTTGGGCCGGCATGTCGCCGGCATGCTTCCCCGTTGAACAGTTCAAGTGGAGACACTGACACACCCCGGAAACATGGATGACTGCACCAAAGGTCCCATTTTTCACGTGGATTTTTGAGCGTAGGTGCGGACCCCCGTGGTTGTTCTTGTTCAAACACTGGCATTCTGTAACCACCAAGATGCGCCAGAACTGAGCTGGTATTGTCCCGGAGGGCACGGCTGCGGCAATAAAAAGCCCGGTCCTGGCGAAAACGGTGCCCCACACTGCGTTTTGCCACTTGCCACAAGTAGCATGCCCAAAGGATCTGTGTATTTATAGAGAGGCACACGACAAGGGTGGAGCATCTGGGGTATGCATTGCACAAACAAATGGTCGACACATGTCTTCAGAGTCCATTCGTCCTCCTGGACATGACATTCCCACCGGGCATGGCAGAACACCACTGCCATCGGGTGCCACGTATTGGCCGGGTTGTGCAATGACATCAATGGAGAGTGGATTGAAGGATCCCTCAGCACACCTTAGAGGTCGAGTTTCGGCGACCAGGCGACAGGGGTTCTTCCACCGCCAACGGACAGGCCACAAGAATGCAAAGGAACCAAGGGTCTTCCAAGGGCATCTCAGGCAACTTGGGATGCAACTATGGCATCCAAGTGCTGGAATGTCTGAAGTTTGGTTTAGCTGCTGGGCAGCTTGCCCATGCAAAGGACTAAGCTGTAGCAGCATGATCAGGATGCTCCCCTATCCAGGGTGTCCTTCAATTGCTTTACACTTAGCTTTAAGGTTTGCCTCCTTGCCCACTGGCCATCGACAATGGGTCCTGCAGGGTCATCATGCATGGTCCTGCATGCTGAGAAGGCCCTTTGAAACTTCTAACGTAGGCTTGTGATTCAGTTTTGGTCAATAAAAAACCCACGTTTGGATTGTAAACCCATCCGGGTTTGATTATATAATCGAGAGTGTTTGTTTTGCACGTTTACAGCTTCCTCAATTAGATGGGAGTCATCTCTTCAGCTTCGGCACACGATGCCCAAGCGGGTGCATGCCATGGGAGACACGTAGATGACCTCACCTGTGAATGGATCCATCTGGGCAATGGAGCCAGGAGGGCAGAAATAGCCTGGCCGCTTTGGCCGATGCCCAGGGGACGGGGACTCTCTTCAAAATACCGAATGGGATATCATGGGATGTCTCTCCGTCGTCCCCTTCAGAGTGACAGGTCGGCAAGCCACGATGTCGGATATCTACCTGGATCTTGCAACGACCACACAAAAAGCTTGAAGTGTTAAAGTCATTGACCCGGTTTGCCACACCAACGGCAAAACGACCGCTAATTCACAACACAACGCAACACAAACAAAACGATCAGAAAGTTGGTAGTCGGAAGGTCCAGATACATATAGGATCCTCATGGACCCTGTCTGCTTTACAATGGGATCCTGAATGATGAGTTGTCAATGAGCGCAATGAGGGCCTGTCTTGCGCTTTGCCCCCAAAATCACCCGGTGCTTTTGGTGTCACAAACTATTTGCAGTTGCCACAGCGCTGGGCGGCACGAACCATGTTGACCTGCTGTCCAATCCAAGTCTGGGAGCACTGTAGGTTCTCATCATGTCAGAACTCTGCACAGCTCATTCCAGTAACAAAGAGTCCAGCGGCTGAAGATCATTCTACGCCTGTCGGACTCTTAATGCTCGAGATCAAGCTTAGCAGTTGTGATAGGAGTCCTCGTTGTCACCGCCCCAAACACGGCGGGACTCCAGCTCGCTCGGCGCCTGCAGGGCAACTCTGGATTTCCACCGTGGAAGGTACGGTCGCAAGCCGCAAGCGTCGACCTGCCTGCCAGTGGAGCAACTACAAAGCCGCCAACGTCAGGATTGACATGCAACATATGGTTCAAATACGGAGCAACTAGGTACACGGCGGATAGACGGCCGTCTAAAAATGCAAGAAAACACCACGGCCGTCTATCAGCCGTGGGCCAACTACAAAGTAGGAACAATAGTCTCCTCTTCCTGCTGGAGAAATGGTCTGCTCCGTGGGTCGCAGTCTTTGCAAAGAGTTGTCCTTGTCACTCTGTCAGACTTCCTTCAGGTTCCTACTATGTGACGTCAACCTTGGGCACACTGAAGCAAACCCCAGCCACTATCTCAAAACCCTTATGAATCCGACTCTCCAATCCATGATTCAAGATCGTTCGGAACTGGTCGTTCCGTCGCTTGGCACCTCTGGCAGCTCTTCGCTCAGGCGACGGACGAAAGGGAACCGCGAGGTGCTGGAGGACGGCGTCTTTCCTCGAGCACCGTCGGGGGCCACACACGGCAGGTTTTGGTTGGGAGGCCTCAAACGAAAAAGCCAAGTACAGCAAGTACACCTATACTACTAGTATACTAAGTAAATTAATCATATACCATAAATCATTATAATGACGCCGGGAGTTTGCGGATAGATTGATTTCATGGAGCTTATACCAATGTCTCGTGGAATGATGCCCAGAGCTCTGCAATGCAGGGAGGCACTCGGATCGGCACCCAGTTTAGCCTAACAATACCTGTGAGATCCTGTTGGTAACCATCTCGTCAGCGCCATCTGAAGATGAGTCGGTTTGAGAGTGACTCTTCCATCCGGACGTGAAAACGTCCAACATTGGCAGAAAGTCCGGATGGAAGAGTCACTCTCAAACCAACTCATCTAAACAGTCTGGCGCTGACGAATTAAACAGTCTGACTGATGGATGCCCTGGACCGTTTTGACCACCCCCGGGTGAGTCGTGACCGCCCAAGCATCCATAGGGCGGCCTCACGCACAAGGCCCCAGCGGGACAAATGGCCAAGTTCGCATCAAACTCCTTGGCAAGGGAGTGACTGGGTGATTGGGTGATTGGCTTCCTCCTTAAGCCAAGCAAGCCTTGAGATATAAAGAGTCTGTGAAACAAGAGAAACAACATCCAAAAGAATCATTTCACACCAAGTGAGAGTGTTTGAAAGGCACAGTAGGCATTCCTGAAAGGCTGCAGGACAGTGTGGCCAATCAACTGCCGGAAACAGAAGGGTTCTCAAGACCCATCCTAAATGCGCCGAACAATGCCTCACCAAGTGAACCTCGAAGCAAATGCTTGATTGAAGAAACACCGGAAGAGCATGTCGTGCGGACTGGGATCTGTTCTGCCCCAGCAGATGTAGCCCGTTTCGCAGTGTTCTGGCTCGATCATGGCATAGCGGGGGCAATAGACGCCCTCGGGGCAAGTCTCGCATTCGAAGTAGCCGGTGGCGTTCATCCAGGTACCTCAGGGGTCACACATCACCAGCCCGAACGGGTCAAGTTGAGTCGTCTGCCTTCCACGTACCGTTTGAACAGTGCAGTTGAACAGTTGAAAAGACAACTGCTGATCAGGCGCCGTGTCACACTTGTCATGATGTCATTCCAAACATTACCCCTTTCAGAGCGGTTGAACCCATTTCTGTCATGTTCTTTCTCTGACCCACCGATCCAATCTCCATCCCTTCCCTGCCGCCACAGCAGCCGGGCAAACACCGGATCGGCGCTTCCCCCGGGTAGGTGAGCTCCGATTGGTTCACGCCGATGCCCGGGCATGCATGGCCCTGAGGACAGGGCTGTAGAGTACCTGAGGCGCTCGGGTACTTGTCGCGTGAAGCTGCCCTGAAAAGAAACAGGAGAATCTGTTGGAAGTGGCTGGTTGAACACAGACTTGCTCAATTCATCCGTGGTCCAGGTCTCAGTCACTTTTAGCTGAAATGCAGTTCCACCACCTTTTTGTCTTGGGCACTCTATAATACAGGTACGGTAATGATGTACGTTTCTCGGTTGAATCACGGGGGTGTTCCCATGAGCTGGCTCATCCCGTTTCTCTTTAATCAGTCTATAAACACTTCCAATCTCGAAAAAAAGATATCGGTCGATGAGTCGGCTCAACGACCCCTCTCTCGTGCAATTTAACCTGGAATCTGACTGCAAACTCGGCATCAACGCAGTGTCGACATGTCAAAAAGGCACCGTTCCAATATGTTCCAATGGTCACTCTTCACTTGATGCGATGAGATCGCTTTTGTCACGCGCGATCATCTAATGGCGTGGACGGAGTGTGTTCTGAAATGGATAATTTGGTTGGGGTGTTCGTGTGCATTTCTCTGAAAGCATCTGAAAACTTGACAAGTTTGTGCTCAAGATTTCAGGTGGCGGTGGCCGTGTTCTTGTTGCATGCCTGAATGGACTGTGTGGCGTTGTTTTGACAACTCCAACACAACGATGGACAAAAGTTCACACTGGCCACCACTTGGCCAGGACTTGCACTGACCAAACATCAACACGAGTATTGAGTGGACTTCCACTTGGCCTTGAGTCTGGACCGAGGTCGAGAAGGGTCCCACGGCCTCCGGAGTCGTCCGACTGCGACTGCAGTAAGGTGATTCAGGTGCCGTTGTGGAGCTCCGCGCGGTAGTAGGTGCCAATGGGAATGGGGTTGAAACCAATGTTGATGTCTGGTGGCGTGTAGTCCTTCCAATACGGCGATCTTTGGATGGGATGGGCGGCCACATACGGGGAGCGGTTGGTGTCTTCTTTTCTCAGAATTTTGCAACACCGGAGCAGAAAACAACTCATCATGGTTGGATAACTCATCATGGTGGGAAAACAACAGGTAAGGGGTCAAATGCTTCTGCGCCAGCACCACCTTCTGGTCGGCTGCCGTGTGCTTGTGCAGATTTGTGAGGGACCGGGATTCTTAAACAACATGCAAGTATCCTTGCTATTCCAATGAAATTCAACAATCACCGTGAGCAGCATGAAGAGAACATATGTTCTAACATCTTGATCTTGCAACTGTAAAATGCAGCAACAAAAACAACAGAAACAATAGGAGCTCGTGACGCACCTCCATCACACAAAACAATAGGATATTACAGTATCTTGAAAAAACATGCCTGAAAAATCATCATTGCACTAATTATAGGGGCATGGCATTGGTCATCCAATTCAGAATATACCACCAACTATCACCAACTTATCTAAACTATTATACATATACTTCCGTCTATCATGTCACGTCTACACCGTGACATACTCCACACAAGAATGAAGTTCCAAGGAACTCTCCGGTCTGGGGGGTCCCGTTTCTTCCACCGGGCGCGTCCTGCAAGTTCCGCGTGAGGCGCAAGGGTTCGGCTCGAGGCACCAGGGCCATGTGCGGCGTGGGAGGCAGCCGAACCGTGGCCCAGTTGGGGTCCTGCGGTGCGGCGCAATGCGCGCAGCGCGCGCAGCGCGCGCACCGTGCACCGCGTGGTTCGTGAAGGAGTTGGACAAGCAGGTGGGGGTCTGGATGGTTCTCGATGGAAGGGACAGGATTCTTTTTCAACCATGCAAGAGCTCTACTAAGAGCTCTGATTCTATGCGGAACATGGAACAGTCCGGGTAGCTCCCATTCCTCACCGTGCAACCGAGAGGCTGGAAGGTGCTGAAAATCGTCCACGCGGCTGGTTGCGGCTTGCGACCCAGGCTGTCGATGTCAATGCCACTTAGTCTGGATGAATCCTGATCCCTGGCCTCCTAAGGTCTACACCATCTGAACACAATACATGTCCTTTCTTCGTCAACCACCCTTCTGGAAATGTGTCGCAGGACAAGCAGGTGTCCTGTAAAGTTATTCTAAAATAGCAAGATCTAGGTTGCAGTGCGTAGACCAACCTCTTCAACCCTTCCAAGAAGTACACTGCATTGGGACGGAAGCCACCTTTCCGTCGCCCCACCTCCGTCGCCCATCCCGCGCTCCTTGCCACGAACCGCTTCCAACAAATGATCCCCCACGGCCACGAAGAGCTTCGCGCCTGCGGCGGCGAGACGAGTTTCGAACGTGGCGGTTTTCGCTGTCCCCTCACACTGGAAGCGAGTCCTGTGGAAGAACATGGAAGAACTGCCCACTCCATTTTTGTACACATCAGTTCTTGGTCCAATCGACCAAATGAGGGGCCGAACAAGGCATCCTCAGAGACACGTCGACTCGACTCTCTGAAAAACAATGCGCGGGCCGGTTGATCTGTTGCTGAAGAACATGATTCCCAACGACTGGGCCCAACAACATGAGTTTCATCTTGTGCTGCTGCCGATCTCCTCACAAACCACCATAAACATACATAAACCAGCGCATTACTAATTACTGGCTATAGTAACAAGGACGAGTAACAAAGTGCCTCGCTACTAGCAGCTACATCTAGTCGCTTCCAGCAGCACCATCCAGCTTCGGTTCTTCTCCACCGCGCTTCCTGAAGGCGGGCGACCGAAGGAAGCCCATGTCACACGTGCCTGTGCGGTTTCCGCTGCCATAGGTGGGGTCTTCCGCCCAGAGGCGCAGGCCACGCAGGGTGAGGGTGCAGCCTGGCACGGCGGGACGCCATCGGGTCGTCCGGCCGGTCGTCCCACCGGAGAGAGTGTAGAAGAACCGATGATAGTCAATGAGTGCCGCATGAAGAAACTTGAAGAAAGATCTGCTCTCCAAACAATTCTCAATCCAAGCAAGCTCTGTGCAAAACAATTCTCCAAAAAAACACCATGCTTTCTTTCGATACCTAGTCTTGGCTTTCTTTATCTTTCTTTCCTAAGAACCAGGGAATCCAAATGTGCATATTTTTTTGTTCAAACACGTTCGCACAAAAAATCCGTGCATCCGGCCTTTTCTGTCAAATGGACAAATTTTCTGGAATTCCTCCGAATATTGGGTTTTATCAATATCATTGTTTGGGTTTTTGTCGATAACATGTTGGTAAAGTTTGGGTTTCATATGGGTAGGCTTTTGTACGGTATTGTGTTTCTGTCCATACGGCTAAATACGCTAATTCGTTAATTAAAATGTCCATACGATAAATGCTGTCCAAATACGGCCTTCGCACCACAAAAAAGTGTTCATACGCCTTTCCAGGAAGTCCCACCCTTCTGAGCCCACCAGTCCAGCCTCCGGTCACCAAGCAAATGTTGGGGAAGACTGCTGGTCCTGGAAGTCGAAAGCATCGCAGGGCCGGTCATGTAAGTGGTGGCACATGCCAAGGGGCAGGAAGGCCGAAAACTTGATCCTTTAACAGCTCCACCAGCTCAAATGCAAAAGGTCAGTCATCAGGAAGATGATATGCCATGCAAAAACATCATGTGCCATTGAAGAAACATCCTGAACCATCTAAACTGATATCTACACCTGCCCATCTGCAATTACACAAACGTAGGTTGGAAGGTGGGTGCTTCCAAGTCAAGTAGTCATTTGGGTTAGAATAGAATAATTCTATGGCATATGTGTGTGCATTCATATATATACTGTTTGATACTGTTTGTTTTTGGATTGAACAACTCATTTGAACTCATTTGTCTCATCTCCTGGGAAGTTTCCCTCGATCGAGGCTTGGAGCTCCATTCGCTCTTCCGCCAAAACGGTCTGCTCTGAGGCTGAATCCACCTGATCCGAGCCGCGCTCGACGGCCGCCAGGCGCGACTCGACGACCAGCTCAGCTCCCGCGGGGCCCCGGTGAACGTGCTACCTGCCCTTCACCACAACATAAAGGTGATGTCATGCATCTGTCATGTATTACTGTAACTTGTCTTACATCCCAGGTGAAACTGACGGCGACCGTCTGGGACAACCCCATCACTACTTCATCGAAAGATCCGATGCAAACGTTGTGGCAATCGATGATATTCACCTTTGGCTTTTGAGGCATTTGAATTTCGATTGCATTTGCAGGCATCTGCCCAAACTTCTGTAAGCTTAGAAGGTCAAAAACATGTCAAAAGCATGTCACTGTACATCAACAGCAATCAAAGCATGAATCAAAAGCTTCAACAGGGGCCTGCGTCGACATGGAGACTTCGAGATTCACACCCAGCGGCTGCAACTTGTCCTGCGCGTGATGCCAACAGTGAAAATTCTGGTTAACATTTGACTGTTAGAAGGGTAGGGCATAAAGCAATCCGCGCTGATCATAAAGTAGGTCACTACAACTTGTACAATTAACAAATGCAACCAACTACCCTAAAAGCATTGTCAGGCCTCATTGTGACAATGCCGTCATCGAGGCAAGGGCTAATTTTGCTCCAAAGTGTCGCGTCTTGTATAGGCCTGTTGTTCAAGTAAGGTATCTCCTCAAAGGCTTGATGCCAACCCCGCATTGCCATAAAATATCCCCAAAAGTGATACAGTAAACTGAGTAGACTTATGTAGGCTTAGCAGTAGTTTAGAGGTTGACATCTGTTGTTGATGCCGCTCATGCTGCTCCGCCCTCCGCCCTTCCAACCTCTGTATTGATGCCCGATGCGGCTGCAGGCATCGTGGGGTGACATCGCAAGGTCTCCGGAGAGAGCAACGTCGCGTGGACCCGTTCTGGTGGCAAGTATTTGTCCTTGGCTGGGCTTGGGGTGTCCAAGATGTCATACACAGACCCACGATCTGTGCCTATAGGGATGTGACTGACCATGACGTGGCCTTGGTATTGAAACAATGAATTCATCTGCCGACCAAGAAGGTCAAAGTAGATAAAGTGATATCATGATATCCTTTCTACTATCCTTTGTATCATTGGCCTGTTCCAACCCTGTTCGCCTGTTGAAAAGCTGATTCTTGAGTCTTCAGGGCTTTAAAGTCGCAAGTCCTTCTAGCGAACACCTCAGTCAACTCCCTTCCAACGTCCACCTCTTTGCTCCAGGCTCTGTTCCCACATCCGCGGCAAACGGCCGCGGCCGGATGAAAAGCCCAAGGGTCGTAAAGCCAAACACACTGAACCAGCTCCGGCTGCAGCAAACGGAAGTATCGGCCAGTGACGATGAAGTCCTTGGGACGTACAAATTGCAAATAGTGAAAGAAGTTGCCTTGCACACGCGAAAACAAATGAAAAGCGTTCAAGAACAGAAACATACAAAAACAGAATCCACAAACCAGGTTGTATTTCGACATCCATGTTGGTTCAGGCTCTTCCACCTTCAGCCAAGATATGCCAAGATCAACCAAGGAACCCCTTGAGGTGAATAGGAGCGGAAGGTGGTGTTGGGCACAATGCTGAGCACTTCAGGCTCCCTGTTGGCGAAATCTTTGAACGCCGCTCGACACCGTTCGAACACGATGCATCGAATCTCACCCGGCCAGCCATGGCCAATTTGCAAGTGGTTGTCATCTACCTGAACTGGGCACCCTGGCAAGCTTGAAGCTCATACATGCATCTTCAACGCAAATGCCTGTAAAGGTCAAGCAAGATTGCGGTAGCCTTTAGAACATGGTCAAATATATAAGGGAAAAGGGTACCTTGGGCAATATCTGGGATGGTTGAATAAATGTCATCCTTCAAACATTTGAAACGCATCGCATCGCTGGGCCTGTACCATAGCCAAGCACGTTTAAAGCGTGTCCAGTCTTGGCCATTCGGTGAGATTTCAAAGTAGCTCAAGATACTGTCGGCAGTCCTGCAAAAAGCCATGCACACTCGTGTTCGCCATACATCTTTTCCCTCAGGCTGCAATCTCTCACAGCTGTGCTTCCCAAACCGGCCGTGATGCCATGGACATGTCAATAATCTATTTTACAATATATATATACTATTATTGCATTGTCTCATATTTCTTTGGTATACACTGACCAACATTTGGTACAGTGCTAGATTTCATATTTGATCATATTTGTCTGGTATTCCTTTACACTTACTTGATGGTATATTTATGGTGTATTCCTATTATCTCACAAGATCCAGTGTTCTTTCTCGTTCTTCGCGTGGCCGGTGTCCTGTTGTCCGGGCGCATGTCCACCGGCAACTGTGGGGCAGTACACCGCATGAAGCCCGGGGTCACGTCGGTGGCCGGGCTCTCCCCCTGGTAGGTCGAACGTGGACGTGGACGGGACGGGTCTAACCATTGGACAGCAAAAAGTATAATATATAATATATAATATATACTACTATACTACCTACCGGTGAGTTAGGACTTTGAGTATCCAAAGAGTTAAGAGTTGTGCAGGCACACGGCCCTAACTCATAATATATATATATATATATTACATGGTATTACATGGTATTACGAGGGTCCCCAAGTTGGCTGATCCTGGCTCAGCTGATTTTTGCCTGACATCCATTGACGTGTGTTTGTCAGTTTGGTTTAGACGATGAAGTGTTTATCCAATTGGACAACCATGGACTCTGACTCTGCTCAGCCAAGGCTCCAAGCCGCCCCAGCGACACCACATGGGTTCCTGGAAGTTCACTCCGAACAGCGCGATGGTGAGGTCATTACCTGAAAGGCGGTCGGCACCCTCCCCCCCCACACAAACGTTAGACTTAGATTGAATGTCTTGTGGCTTGTTGGCCCCCCAAAATAGTGGTGTTCCTGGACCTGATGGCTGTTCTTATGTTGATCCACATCTGCATGATTCTTTGATGTGGGAGAATCTCCTTGGTCTTTGACAACCCAACTCGCAAACCAAGGGCAAGCAGCTGCGAGCAGCTTCTATGCCCGCCAATATGCATCATACTATACTTTCTGATCCCTGCCAGGCCACTCCAACCACTGGCTGGGAAAGGACTTGCATAGGTCACCTCCCCAAAAGTCAGGAGTGACTGACTGAAGCTGGAAGCTCTTTGCCTAGAAAGGACTGACTAGTGACTAGTCCAAGCAACATGTCAGGATTCTCCATGCTACACCTTTCGACTAGACTCTCTTCCCAACTCACGAAGGTTGCCCCCAGTGTCGCAGGAGCACGGCTTTCATGGTGAACCAGCGTCCGAACTTCGGACCTGATCCAAAACAATCACTGTGCACCATCCGCCTGAGGCATCTTGACGTATTCGTAGGTGAGGTTGCCAAACATGTTGCGACCTGAATGGAGTTGGGCCAATCTTTCCCACAACTAACGCGCCCTGTCAGCGAATGTATCTCGTAGATTTCACGCTTGAATCAACCCAACTTTGGTGGTTCCATTTTCTCTCACTATACTATGAAGTGGCCGCTCGGTACGCGGTCTCAGGACCACTCGCACTCTCCAAGGAGATGTGGATCAGACTTTGCAAGTCTCAAAGCAGCAACTCCAAACGTGGTGGTTTTTGTCCGCATGCCAAATCGCATGCGGCCATGTCTTGATGTTCAATCGTTTATTCTTCTGCAGACCTGCTGACCCATCTGACCCTGCCATGAGACCGTTGAATGTCATCTGCACCGTCACGAAGCCGAAGCAGTCCACCGAACTGTTAGGTGCCACACCCTCCAGGTACATGGCCTGACTGGAGAAGGTGTTGGCCGCATAAAGCCAAGGTAAATGGAGTGCGTCCAGGTACATGGGCCCTCAAAAAGAAACGTCGGCTATTGAGAAACATTCTTAACTCCGATTCCTTGGCCTTTAAGAACGCTACGAGTAGACTATGCTGTTATATTATTTATATATATATGTATATTTTTAAGTCATTGATGCAATGATCGGGATGGTGGCTGAAACCCTTCCTAAAAACATGAGTACGCTGGGGCAGTCATTTCACACATAGGGCTTTCCAAGCCATGAACGTGGGATTTAATTTCAAATTTCATAACCCTTCACAGACCTGAGGACCTGATACCCTGCCCTTTGGGACCCAAGAAGAGCGAATGAATACATTGGGAAATGCGATCAAATGACACGTGATATTATATAGATGCAGTATCAATGATGTCAATAATGATATGAGATATGATGTCTGAATTGGTATATATATATATAAATAGATCGCAAACACTACCATCCACCTTTGGGATGTTATTAGACTTTGGATGGGGGACCTTCTCTATTCCAAGTTGCACGTGCACTCCCAAAGAATAAGGGTAAAATTGCATTGCTGAACAATCATGAATGTTCAACCCTCATGATATGTTTTTTATCTTATCAGCCACAGTGACTCCAGTAAGAACAATCGGTCTTGCCACCCCCGCCTTCTCGCATGGAGGTGTCATGCAAGTGAGCCTTGGATTCAGTGGGTCCTCCGGGTTGTAGACTGGAACCGTCGAGACGGGAGCATAGCCGAAGACCTCATGTGGGTCGCGTGTCCCAGGCGCTTGGAGGTAGAAAATGAGATCCCAGGCCTCTTCTCAAAACGGAAAGCAGCACATAGCATAACAACGACGATGGACAAAAAAGACTGCATAAAACAAAAAACATAACCCAAACATGACATCGCCCAAACAATCGGTTCCGTGATGAGGGTCGAGCAAGTTCGGTCGAGCGGCGCATGTGAGGGTCGGCAGCCAGTAAAGCCCACTGGTCACGATGGTCACGTTGGTGCCGCCGACTCGGAAGCCACGATCCGGGATGATGGCCGTGACCTGAGGGTCTGTGGCTGTTGGGTGCTTCACCAGATCTACCAGGTTTAGAGGCTGAGATTTGGTGAAGGCTGTTGTCGTGCAACAGCGATTTCCCAACAGGTTTAGATGCAGGGAGTCTAGTCGCATCAGGTCCAGGACCTGCCAGTCACGACTTGGCTGGAAGGGGACGGCCAGGCCGCAAATCACATGCAGCAGTGGGTTCCTTTTTACATCCTTCCCAGGCCGCAGTGGCTGCAGCACCACCTTCATGGTGCAACTGGAAATGTTGGTCTTCTCTGTCAGGTCACCCACAGTTGGCGGACGTGAGCCTCTTTCATTCATAATTAAATGGTGAACGTGAGCTCTTTCACCAAAAATGGCCACCACATGCCAAGCAGGGTCTTACCACCCTAGCCGGTTCGGCGGCGAGAGCAAGTGGTTAGGGAACTCCTTTTCGCTCATTGGCTCATATTGGCTCTCTTTCGAATGGGGGGATATGAACACGCCCGGCTCCCAACCACCAGCTAGTGAAGCATTTAAAAAGCAAATGACATCGACCAGGGGCATGCATGAAATGAGGAGCTGTCCCGAACTTGGACTCGTGTGAATACAGAAGGAAATACATGTTGATCTCTGTCATTGAGAGGCTGCAAATCTGTTGTGGCTTTAGACAGAAACTCTGCCGGTCTTTACTCTAGACTCGACCTTCTCTCTCTCTCTCTCTTTCTTGTTCTGTGTGCCTGTGCGCTTTGTCACGAACGGAGGGCTCTGCCACTGCGCAAAGCGGGGGCTTTCAAGTCAGCACATTCTGGGGGCTTTGTTCTGTTTCGTGGGGCTCTCAACAGTTTTTGTCACATCTGACCGTCGTTGTGCTCCTTCATCCCATGCGGTGCATCGGACCCCTCAAGGGTGCTGTACACAAATCAAACGTCCCAAGGCAATGGGCACCAGGGAGCTCACCTGGAACTGCCAAAGGCAGCCATCCGGTCTCAGAGTTTAATACGATCAATGCCGCCACTAGAAACGGCCTCCAAGAGTTCAACACGATCAATGCCGCTGCAATTGGGGTCTGACCAAACAGCCCTGTCAGTTCACTCGGCAGTTCTCAACAAAAAGTGCTCTCGAGCGAGGGACTGTCACTGTACGCCATGCAGGAAACTTTGCGGGACATCTGAACCACTCCTTCCAGTTTGAGATCCGACCACCGCAGGAACTGATTTCCCCGACCATTTTTGGACTTTCATGAGGCTTCAAAGTCATCTCCTGATTTATTGCGGACCCTCTGCACTGCTAGGGAATTAAGCAGCAGAGTCAGCACCTGATCAGAACCTAACGCAACCCAAGATTTCATGAACTTCTTACTATATAAATATACGGTATATCATTCGTGACTAATAATGCCTTGAGGGTCCAACCATGTCTTGGACAAGTCTCTTATACAAGCAGTTCCCGGGCAAGCCGGCGGAGGAAGTTTCCTATAACAAAAAAATTACCTATAGGAGTGTCCCTGCCCACATGCCCTGCGGACCCCCTTGGTTCCGGCACGCAACGATGGTGTCACGCAAGCAGCCCACAACGGCGTACTCGCTCTGGCACTGTGCATGTAGTGGCACTGGCGCGAATTCCTCTCGCTTTGTACTGCGCCTGCCACGAAATCTGCACATCGAGGTTCACAAAGTGCTGTGCCTACCACGAAATCTGCACCTGGAGGTTCATAAAGTGCTGTGCCTGCCACAAAATCTGCACATCAATGTTCACAAAGTGCTGTGCCTGCCACGAAATCTGCACATCGAGGTTCACAAAGTGCTGCGCTGCCACGAACTCTGCACATCGAGATTCACAAAGTGCTGTGCCTGCCATGACATCTGCATATCGAGGTTCACAAGGTGCGGCGCCTGCGACGAACTCTGCACATTGAGGTCACTAAGTGTTGCGCCTGCCACGAAATCTGCACTTCAAGAAACAAGTGAAAACTCCATAATTCGAGGGACGATTCGACCATGATCCAAGCATGACGCGAGGCCATTCCGCAACCGTCGTTCCGCAGAGCTAGCCTTGCCAGGTTCGGAACCACCCTTTGTATTGAAAAACACAGCATTTCGTGCGTCCGCTATCTCTCGAACACTTCCTTCCAAAGTGCATGTTGAAGAGCTGATGACTGGAGTTAGAGCTAACTAAAGCTAGAGCTGACTAGTGGTGTTGTATGTATGTTGTATGTCGTAGTAACAGCTTTTGAAAGTCCGTAACACGGAAGTTTTGCACACTAAACTTCTTTTGATGATATATTGTATACATATATATATATAGAGAGAGTGAGATGCATAGCATAAACTAATCCACTGCTTCACCAGGATCGCTGTTCAAAGTGTGTCAAACTAGAAGGCTGTGACCATAGGCACTCGGCCCAAATTCCCCTACCAACTGAGCAACGACAAAAACCTGGTGTCATCATGCAGTCCCACTACGGGGCTGCATGCAGGAATCACACAGGCTTGCAATCCCACTGTCAAGAATCTATGGATCATTTTGTACCGGTCTACCTCAATGGTGGACAAGCCAAGGTCTCCGTCGCTGCTCCACAAAACTGACTTCGCTGTACAGCGGGGTGCAAAAAGGTCTACACAAAGTCTTGGCCCTCTGCTTGGCTCCAACCTGAGAGCAACATCTGGGCAGGAACACTTATACAAAAAAGAAAGAATATATATTAATAATTGTTAATCTCTATTTAACAAAAACAACTCTCAGGCACATGTCTGTTTAAAGTATATATTTGTCGTGGCAGGGTGGGCAGCACGCAAAACACCACAAACAAGAACACGACACATTGGGATTACAAGGGTGTCCCTGCCAATGCGTGAGGAGCACAAGGACAGGTACTGTATGCCAACTGGACATCTTCAAGGGCAGAACACCAAAGAAGCTTGGTACCAACAAGTCGTTTTGGACATGTCCTACTTGCGTCGGTATGCTCACTGGACATTCTTAAGTCAGGAGCCAGGAATGAACTGCGGATCTCAAAACCAGCTGAGACGCTTGGCTCGCTCTTGGTCCGTCTCAGTTGGCTGCCAATGCTCTCCTCCATGAGTTCGCAACTGAAGGAATAAGCTTGTCAAATCTGCTCAGAAGTCACAGACTCAGTTACTATTGCCAAAGTTGTGGTAGTCTCTCAACTGCAGTTGTTATATATATATATATATGTGTGTAATTTAAATGTTTTGTGTGTGCGCAACAGTACCTCTCCTGAAATGTCTACAGTATACTGTACTGCATGTTGAGCACTTCTATACCAGCCATGATGCCCGCGCATGGCTCGTCAACAAGAACGAACCTCGTCAAGCTCAAGGAAGGTCTTGCGCACCACGACTCTCAGCACCCCTAGGCGACGATAAAGGCGGTTGTTTTAATCGAACATCGATCCCCAAAGAAGGCCGAAAACATCGCACAAAATCCACTGCAAACAGCTGAAGCTCGCCCAAGATCTAATATATTTCAATGGTAGATCAGGAGGGAAGGACTTGCCACTTGTGTCTACAGTCCTCGAACAATTCCACTCCCTCCACCCAGAGCCTTCGATCTGGCTGGGGGCATTCTCTGAAGATAGAAAGCGTGGACGAACGTCTGCATTCCTTAGTAGACTATGTGGCTGTGTATTGCAATATGGAGGCCAACCCCCTCTCGACCCCCTGGAAGGAGGAAAATAGACAAGTCTACTACCCAGCCAAGGCCAGTGGATCTCCCTATTAAGTTACACACCCATGTGGTTGTGCGTCATGGCACCAGGAGACCTACTAGTTGACTTGCCTGGTGTCTACCTCATTCGCTGTATGGTGGACCAGGGAAGCCTGACCCATCACCACCTCGTGGTTGACAGATCAAGACGTGGGGAGTCCGAGTCCAAGGTGCGGCATGTCGCATGGAGCCAGGCCTCTTGCTGCATGGTTTCAGTGCAGGCACTGCCTTGTATACATGGAGCCTGGCCTCTTGGAACTCCCTTCTGAGGTGATTTCATGCACTTGAAACACTCGAACTGCTTGAAAACAATCATTTCTTGACTGAACGAACGAATGGTCTGATGTTCTTGCTGTAGGTGCAATCCTCATTGGGGACAAACCACCAAAAACCGCAACACAACTGGCATTCAGCATGCTCAGTACCTCCCACGCCCGAAGTCTCTCTCCAGTGATTTGGCCTAGTCTCAAGGAAGGGGCAGCCGTCCCTCCGTTGGCATGACGGTAGGCTGCACGATGCAAGTTGAAAACTGGTTGAAAAACATCTTTTGCATCCTCCCACTGCCCTCGGAGCCTGGGTGGCATCACAAGACAGTGCTGTCTGTGCTTGCTTCCAGTGCTGAGCAAGCACGAATTCAGAGGAAACCATCCACTTCAGACTTCAGCACCCAAGACTTTCTACACCCCTGGTGACCTTTATTCATGATGAGACTTCCACCACCTGAAAAACATGGGCAACCTTCGGTCTATGACATACTATGACCTTGACATACGAAGAAGTCTGCTGGGCACCGAGCTCCGGGTCGCATGACGCACTGGTATGACACCAAGCTCCGTCCATCCAAGTTGGGGAAAGTCTGCACACGGAAACCCAGCTTCTCTAAGAACTGCTCCAAATACTCGGCCAAGTGAAACCTGCCCTGGAAGCGTGACCAGGAGCTGATTCCAAGGTGCTTCCCTGTAGAGATCCTCCAGGGGCGATGAGAAACACACACACAGTTTGACAAAAACCACCAAAACACCGTTTGAGAAAGAAAGGGCGGCTTTTGGGCAAACAGCTTCAGAATGCCCAAGCAGTGGGCATATGTTCAAACAGTTCATCTTCAAATCCAATCAGCAAGGCAGGTGACTGCACAAATGCACAGCCTGCTCATACCTTTTCAAATCCCGTTCTTGATGGAGTGCGCATGCCCTTCAGACGCATCCAGCTCGGGAAGCAGCGGTGGCCCACGACTAAAGCCCCGCAGGGACAGGACGACGTAAAAGTTCGTGTCCACCGAGCGCATCGCGCGC